TTTGAGCTGCCACGAGGACGGGTAGCCCACCAGCAGCGGCGGAAATCGTACGCCTGGCTCGGCTGCGGCCTGGCGAGAGGAGCGAGGGGAGGCAGACGCGACCTGCGCGCGGCGGAAGAGTCCCGACTGCGGCTTTCAGCTGGGAAAGGCGAAGAGCTTCTGGTTATGGGTTGAATCACATCTGCCTGCCCGCAGCTGTCGTGTGGCAGAAATGCGTGTTTGACCTTCCGCCTGGGCTGGTTGGAGCATCACCCCGGTCTCCCCCCGCGGATGTTTAACCGGCGCAGTAGTGGAGCGTCTCAGTCTCAGCGTTAGAGGAGAATACTGAAAATCAGGTACTTCTCTGAAACCCAAATAAGACGTTGGAAAGGACAAGCTCTGGGTTGACCTCTTCTTTGGGACGTAGTGCTCCGAAGGACTCAGCTCCAGTGCTGTTTGTGCTAGTAGAAAGAGATGTTTGGACGTCCAGGCATCCCACGGGGCAGTGACCACTCAGCTACGAGAGCCTGAGCAAGCCACTTCTTGTAACTTGAATTTCCATGTTTTGAGATCTTGGTGCATCGCACAGGACCATCCAAACTCCAATTATAGCAACGAGGTGCAGAAAAACATTATTACAGGAGGGGAAGATTTAGAGGGAAGCTGACAGCTTAAGAGCTTTCATGAAGGACCTGACACCAGGAAGCAAACAATTGGAACCATTTAGCTACCTTCTTCATCACGTAAGATTCAAGTGACAATTATGAAACCTCCAGATGCAGCATTCCTACAGGATGAGCAAAAAGAAATAAAATAAAAGGCGGACACTTCATGTAACAAGCGGCAGAATTTTGGATGGGGACAAAAAGCAGCCAAGGAAGCAGGACTAAGTGAGGGCTTAATCACCTCAATCTGGGGATGGATTCGTTATTATGGCTCTCATGGAAAACATCTATTCAAGGGCTAGACAAAGGAAACTGAATATAATCAGGAGCCAATGTGTTGAGCAGTGTTCCAACACAAACAGCATCTTCAGAGATGAAAGAACAATTTACAAAACAAAGATATGTCAATTCTTCCATCTGATAAGAGCCTAACAATAGATATTTACCCACTAATGAACACACAAAGCAGCTGTGAAGGGAATCTTAATGATAAGCAAAAAGGTAAAATCCTGCCCACCAGTGCACATGCCTCAGCTGCGGTCAGCAAATCTCAGTGCTCAGCAACATCTGGAAGGAGCGGGCTGCATCTTCGCCTGCTGCGTGCTGACTGCTGACCTCCGTCCGGGAGCAGGTGCCCGGACTCGCGCCCCGCTCAGCCGGGAGCGCGGTGGATTCGGGGGTGCTTGGGACCGGCAGCGTTGAAGGGGCCGGTGTGGGGGAGCAGGCACCTGAGTCTTGGGCCGTCGGTGGGCTGCCGATATGCAGTTGGCGCCCGTCGGGGCAGCCGGTGGCCGTGTGCCCGTGGACGCCGGCATGAACAGGCGAGCACGGTGCCGGGCTGTCTGGGCGGGCGGCAGCAGGCAGGGAAAAGGCCTCGTCTCGGGAAGGGTGGGAGAGGGATTCTCACCCCGTTCTCGGGTTAGGAACCCACCGCACCGGGGACTCAAGGGCAGTGATGGATCTCCCGTGTCCTGGCCTGAACATTTGGCTGCGGGACAGCCGCCTTCTCCGGGTCACCTGTGCGCTCTCGAGCGGAGACCCTTCCTGGCAGCAGGCATCACCTGCTTTGCATCCCCAGCGCATGCAAAAAGGTTGGAGCTGAAATGCTAAATCTCACCTTTCCCCTCGCTGCAGCGCCTGGTCGTTCCCTTTGATGTCCAAGGCTTGCTGCTTGCGCGCCGCTTCGGCTCCCCGGCTGCACCCGAGCAATC